ACAAAATAATCCAAACATAGTCTGGGGACTTTTTCTTGAATATCTGTGCTACCTTCTTGGGGTATGTTTGGGGTATCTTTTATTTGTCGTCGAAGCTCCCCCTGTAGGGGGGCAGGCCCGACATAACTCGAGGGCCCTCGCCGCGAAAAAAAAAAACAGGCTCCAGCCCTGGCGATGCCCAGCGCACGCGGGCCCCCGGCCGGGCGCGGAGGCCTCGTGCACCGAGCCCGCCGCCCGCGAGGAGGCGCGCCCGCGGCCCGGCCAGGAGCTCCTCGAGCTTCGATCCTCCTCGATCCTCCTCGATCCTCGATGCTCGATCCTCCTCGATCCTCGATGCTCGATCCTCCTCTATCTTCCTCTATCCTCCTCGATCCTCGATCCTCCTCGATCCTCGATCCTCGATGCTCGATGCTCGATCCTGGAGCACCTCGGCGCCCGCGAGGAGGGACGCCTCCTGCGAGCTGCGCCGCAGCGGCGCCGGGGCGCGCGACGCCGCGGGCGGGCCTCGCGGCTCCGCTGCCGCCGGGCATGGGCCGCTGGACGGCGAGCTGGGCTCCTGGGGAAGCCGAGAGGGCACAGCAGGACGAGGAGGAGGAGGAGGAGGTGGAGGAGGAGGAGGAGGAGGAGGAGGAGGGGGAGGAGGAGGAGAGGACGAGGAGGGGGAGGAGGAGGAGGAGGAGGAGGAGGAGGAGGAGGAGGAGGAGGAGGGGGGAGGAGGAGGAGGAGCTCGACCAGTGGCCGGCGTACCCACCTGCGGCAGGTTCGCGTCGAGTCGACCCCAGCGCTGGTTCCTGACACCTCGGGGAGCGTTGAATCTTGCTCCGAAACTGAAGGGGAACTGGGACACACAAATAAATAGACACAAATAAAAGGATTCCCCATATTTTCCCATATTTTCTGGGTTTTTGTCTTCCCCCCCACTTCCCATATTTTCCCATATTTTCCTGGGGATCGACGATTAATTGTGTCTGTGTTTTGTTTCCTCCTGAGAAACGTCAGACCATGCAACATCGACCGATGCTGCTGAGATGAACGGCGGATTATATCTTAGATATAAGTTGAGGACGCCTGTTAGTAACTAAGTTATAACTAAGTTATAACTAAGTTATAACGAAGATATAACTAAGTTATAAATTGGCGCGTTTAATAGTGACTGACAGCGTCTGAGTTATAAGTCAACCTCTAATACCTTATTAGAGCTCGTTGAGTTAGTAAAAGTCAACAGACTTAGGAGGTTGAATTATAAGTCGGGTTATAACCAAGTTAGGTGACTTATATTTAACTAAATTAGCCCTGAACTCTTCGACTTAGTAATTGAGTTATAATCAAGTTATAAGTCGACTTAACTAAGTCGACCTAACTCGACTTACTAAGTCGACCTAAGTCGAGTTAGCTAAGTCGAACGTTCGAGTTACTAAGTCAACGTAGTTCGACTTATTAAGTCGAATTGTTTCGACTTATAAGTCGACGATTTCAACTTATGTTTAATCGTTTAACATGATTTTGTAAAATGATTAAGAACGGTGTTTAACATGTTTGCGGCACCTGGCCATCCACAACACCAACGAATATGTTGAGAACTTGTGATCCTGATTTTCCTCTGGTAACAAAAGAGTGTTTGTTCTGGATCCACCGACAACAACATAATTTTGAAAGAATGGTGCTCTGGCTTTTGTCTGGTAACATGTACATTGACAGTCAAGACCCTAGAACTCTCATCAAAATGCAAGGCGGCTCGGCTCGTAGCTTATATTTTTTTATGTTCAAACAATATGGGCGATGTGTGAAATGCCAATATCTACATCGTAAGCGTACGTCGTAATCGTATCTAGCGCGCGTTACGCTCTCCACCTTGCGCCTGGTTGCGGGCGCGGTTGCGGCTGCGGCGGCGTCCTTCAGCACGCGCTTCGCCATCTGGCGGGCGACGGGCACGGGGGGAGGGAGGAGGGAGGAGGGGAAGGAGGGGGGGCGGGGGGGGGGGGGAGGAGGGAGGGGGGGGAGGAGGAGAAGGAGGAGGTACTATGTGTATTTATGTACTATACATATATGTACCATGGGCATACCGTATAATATGTATGTGTACTATAGATGCATATGTTGGGGGAAGATCAATGGATGCAAGGGGAAAAGGGCGGGGCGGCGCACGGGGGCGCGAAGATAATCGCATCTCTCGGGGCGCGGCCTGGGCTGGAGAGCCGCCCTTGTCCAAGGCGGCCCCGCGTCGGGGGGGGGGGGGGGGGGGGGGGGTTCCTCCTCCTCCTCCTCCTGCCCCATCGCCCTCCTCCTCCTCCTCCCCCCCCCCTTCCTCCCTCCTCGAAGACGACGACTGCGGCGACGACGAAGATGGGGAAGGGGAGTGGAGGATGATGCAATGCATGATGAGGAAGAATGAACGACGGAGGAAGAAGTGGGCGGCTTCGACAGTCGACTTTTTTTTTTGTTCGACAGTCGATTTGTGTTTTTTTTCCGACAATCGATTTTTTGTTTATTATTGTTTCAGCTACGCGCCCCTGCCATGATAGTAAGGCACGATGATCTTCACGGTCGATGGTGGAATGCGCATGTATACAACGGGCTTGACAATCGACGTCGGGTCCAAGAACACGTCTGGCGTCGCCGATTCATCCCAGATGGTCCAAGTCCCAGGGTCCACAGCGGCAGCCTCCCGCACGTGGACTGCGATGAAATCGCCCATCGCATAGAACAACACAACTCTACCTAAACGAAGTGCACCGCCAGTGCGGATGAGCACGTAGTCGTCCCTCTTCACGCCACCACACTTCAACGCAGCCGCTGTAGACGTATCCATCTGGATGCCTGCGATATCGAGTTTACGGCGCTTCGACGTCGAGATATACTGCTCGTCGAACTGGAACCGCCCCTCGACAACGTCTTGAACGTAACAGCTTAAATATCCAAACGTTGTCGTGTGCTCGACCTAGTTGTAAACGTGCACCACTGTCGTCTTCACGTCTTTGTGTTTCCGTTCTGGCGCAAAGCACGAAATCACCCTACCCAGTCGAAGTAGGTCGGTGGGCACGTGCGCCAAATGATGAAACTTCACCCTGGTAAACGTATGGTACAATCGGCGAAACAGTACCGCGTGCTCTGCAATGGCCCCCGAAAGCGTGGCGTGCAATGCGCCCGTCATATCGTCCTCTCCTGATAGGAGCCCCAACATGAACGTTAACAGCTCGAAACATCGAACGTGGTCCGCGGGCACGCGGCCAGAGCACCTGCCCCGAAGAAATGCCAGCAACAATGGACAAAGTCCGAGAACGTCGCTCGCAAACAGCTTCACGTGGTCGGTCGCTATGAAGTTCTCCGTGAACCACTCTGGCTTGGGAGGTGACGCGGTCAACTTGGGGTGGATGTACAAGCGCGCGTAGGCGGCAATCTCATACATATCGATATTCAACCTCTTCAACCACGATGTGAGCGCCGCAATCTGAAGCCCCGCAACGCCATGCGATACCAGGGTGTGCTGCCAATCCCTGATGTAATTACTCACGGGGCGCAGCACGCTTCTCAAACGAGGAACGCACAGCATCCCATGTTCATTATAACTAATGCCCAGCTTCGTTTCGAGCGCCTCCACCTTCGACATCGATATCTGCCCGACCTGCGATACCAAGATCTCGTGCATTCTCCAGAACGTGTCGTCGCCCAGCTGCTTGTGCTTCGATTTATCTACGCAGTCCAGTCCGACGGTGTACTGGCCGTCGGCGTAGCCAGTCTTGTGGATGAAGTTCACCACGTTCATGCACGAGATGCAGGGTTTCAGCCCTGCCGCCCCTTTAATGGCCAAAAACTCTTTGTGGCCTTTTTTTCATCAGCCATAAAACCGACCAGGCGAGCACGAAACACCCGCACGGCACTCCCATGGGGAACTACAAAGCCGTGTGTGAAGTTATGAGGCCCGTCAACGAACATGGCGACGAGAATATGCTTCAAGAGGGCGCTCACTCCCCCAGGAATTCTCTCCACCAGCCTGGTGCGAACCCCGCCCAGGCAAAACCAGCCCCCCGTTCTATGGAGGAGCCAGCCTGGTAGCTCCAGAAAGGTGTAATAAACATTCCACAATTGGCGCCCAACATCAGATCTCAAAGGGTTGCCTGGCGTCATATAGCCACCGTAAAACACCAAGCTACAAGTACACAAAGGTGCCTTGTCGACCGCAGCAGACAGCAGATTGGCAAACTTTTCGCTGATAGTCGACATATAGTGCAGAAACGCAAATGGGTGTACATATTCCCACGGCCCGATGCCTGGGACATCCAGTGTCTGCACAACAGGTCCGCATGGCGTCCTCGCGGGCCATGCATCCCCGCTGCTATCCTGCACTGGCGTAGCTCATCTCGTCCTCCGAGCTCCTCGTCCCTAAGCATCCCTTTCCTATTCAGCGTCTGCAGGATGCGGGCGACGCTCGCCTTCGAACCCCGCGAAGTGGCCAGAAGCTCCGACCGCAGCTGCATCCTCGTCTCATCATCGATGTCGATCGTGGCGGGTGCGCCCCGCTTCATGTTCGCAACACTGAACCTGAAACGGCTGTGGAAGAATGGCGACGGCTGCGATGATACTAGAGACTGCGCGTGAGAATGCTTATATGCATGGTGAATGCAAGACGTTGTTGTGTAAATAGTCATATTTGTATGTATATGCATGTATGTATGTATGCGGGTACGCATGTATGCATGCATGTATATATGTATGTATGTGTATATGCATATATGTATGCATGCATGCGCGTTTGCATATATATATATATATATATATATATATATATATGTACACGTGCCGACATCGATGCACATCCCTCGCGCGCGCAGCGGTGCGCGTTTTCGGAAGGAGGGTGAAACGTTGTCGCACTCTGATGCACCTTGGCAAGCTACCTTCGGCATGCCGCAACACAAACTTGCACAGGCGCAGAGAATGATGGCACACACAGGGCCGCAAGTGAAGTCCCGCATTCACGCGACTCGAAGCGGATGACGGGTCGCGATGGGAGGGGACGGGGCCTGCTTATTCGAGCGGGAAGGGGGGGATCCGAGGCGATGCCGTCTGTCGGCAAACGCCCCCATGGTAGCCCCAGAAAGGTTTAACACAATTCCACAGCATGCGCCCAGCATCAGATCTCGAACGTCGACATTTGATTTACGATTTCGATGTGATGGTACTTTCGCAAAGCAGATCACACACATCGCGTGTATTTGTGTCGCTCTGAGGCGGCTTGCAAAACTGGCGCACAACACTCGACACACCTGCACATCACTTCCATTGGGCACTATATTATACAAAGCCGTGTGTGAAAATCTGAGGCCCGTCAACATGGCGACGAGAATATGCTTCAAGAGGGCGCTCAATCCGAGTCCTCCTCAGCCGCTGCCTGCACAGCCGCTGCCGCGCGCCTCGAGGCCCGATGCTGGTCTCGCGTCAGCGCGTCGTCGCTGGCGGGTCCATCGCACTCGGCGTCTTCGTCACCGTCTCCACCTTCACCACCTCCACTGTCCTCCTCTTCCTCATCCTCATAGTCGTCCTGGAACATACCGCTATCGCTGTCCTCGCCCTTCTCCTCGGAGGGCGAGGTGAACCCCGACCCCTGTTCGATGCATATCTTTCGCTCCAAGCGCCGAACTTTGCTCCGAATCTCCCCGATGCGATTCATGGTCTCCACGTGGCGAGCCATCACGAGAGCCTCCAGCGCCTCGATTCTGGCCAACACCTCCCCGAGCCCTCCCCCCTTCCCCTGCCCTCCCCCCTACCCCTCTTCTCCCTCTTCCCTCCTCTCCTCCCTCTTCCACCCTCATCCCTCTACCAACCTCCCAGCCCCTCCTCGCGTATGGGATCAGCCGAGGCACTCGCCATGCCCCCCCTGCGGCGCGGGGGCCTGCACTTCTGCTAGACGTAGTGCGTCAAGCCTTTGAACTGGAGTCAGCTCTCCGCTCGGGCCTAAAGCAACGGATATCGATGTCGATGTTTCTATCGAGTTCGATGTCTCTACTGGCGTCGATGTCGATGCTTTTATCGATATCGATTTCTTGCATCACAAAACCCCCATCTCAATGCTGGCCGATGGGCTTTCCGACGGACGGAGCTCGACCGCGGGGCGCGCAGGCAAACCGGCCATAGGAGATATATCTTTGCCTCGGGGGTCCTCCATCCTCATTCCTCCATCCTCCATCTCCCCCTCCACTCTCAATCACCCATCCCCCTCCTCCTTCATGGTGATGGTGGCGATGATGATGATGGCGATGCTGCTGCAGATGGTGATGAGGAAGATGATGATGATGATGACGATGATGGCGATGATTATATTGTGTTTTGTTCAAAGCGCGTGCCATACATCCCCGGCACATCCGTTTATCGTGGGCGTCGATGTCGATGTGCGCGGTTACCCACGCCACCTCGGTATCGCTGGCATCAAACCACACCGCCCATCATATTGAAAGACACACTCCGTCGTCGATATCGATTGCGCCGTCAGTGGCGTGCTGATCGCACTACATGCGAGATTGCACCTACAAAAAGAAACGCCTCCTGCCTTTGCGCTTATGCATTGGCTTAGCTGGAGGCATGCCCTGCAAATCCAAAGCGCACAACAAGGCGCTGCACTTCTTGATGTCGAGCTTCATTCCGAGATCATCCTCATCCCGCTGGTGGTTTTTCAGCATGACCATATAGTGCACACGGCTACAATAGAAGCACACGTCGTCCTTCCCATCATCGTCCTTCTTGCACTTGCACCCCGCCTTCACGTAGCGCCTCAAGAAATGGTTCCTCAGCTTCTTGCGGTACCAGAGCGTGCCCCAATACTGCGGGTATAAGATGCCGTCCTCGTCAGCCCGCTGCTTGATCTGCACCGACTTCCACGGCGTGGGCCCCTCCAGGTACGGCACCATCTTGACGGCCTTCATCGGGTGGAACTGCACCTTCTTTGCCATGTCGCCCGCGGGCTTGGCGGGCTTGTATTTCTTCAGCGCTGGCTGGAGGCCGAGCTCGTCATCGCTCAAGTCCATGCTCGGGCTGAGCGTGAAGCTCGGCGGAGTGAGCGCTCCCCGCATGACCTCGCCCCTCGGCGGGAACGGCGTCATATTCTCCAGGCCTGTCGGGAGCGGAAACCGCAGGTGCGGAGCCGTCTCCGTCTGCGCTGCATAATTGGCGAAGGACATCGACACTAACTGCAAGGATCGATAGGCGATTGCGAGTCTACGTGGGCTTCGATCGTCGGCGTACAACTGTAACGAGCCAAAATGGCTGGGGAGGCCGCGCTAGACGATGCAGGGGGCGGCCTCGGAGCAGAGTGAGAACAAGATCGTAAAGTAAGATGGTATACCATGATAGTAGAGCACGCCACGATGTACGATAATCGAATACCTTTATGAGCTCGTCTCATCTTCGGCTCCAGGCTTCCTATATCTACTCTCTACTATCTTACTCTCACTCTACAGTCGTTTACTGTGTTACTGCGGAGGAGAGAGAGGGAGAGATGACAATAACACAATGGATTTGTTCGGTTCACATTGAGGCAATCAGAAGGGCGTCACTCCCAATGACGCGCTGCGTGCAGACGCCTATGGCGATATCGATCTGAGTCCGTGTTGCCCGACGTCGATGGCTGGGTAACGTCCCCGTGGCACATGCGAACCTGACCGTCTGCGCACTGAACGAAAAGATAACACACGATGCAACTGCAAATGCAAACGCTGTTGCCTACACCAGCGTACAACAATGCTCAGCTGAGCGGGGTCGCGCTCCAATCGTGACTTCACTACGACGAGCGCCACTCCGTAAACTTCGATATCGATATATCTGCGAACAAAACGATTGCATCGGCGTGCCCTGCAGGGAGCGCTATGCCCAGCGTAGCGCACCACCTTAATTCGGAACTCGGAGCGCTGCTGCACCGCCTACCAGTTCCCCTTGTCACCGTCGACCCACTCGACCACAGCCTTCCACGCCTTCTTCTCGTCGCCGCCGTACGCGCCCCAGGCCCCCCAACTGAACATCTTGTCCCAGACAACGCCCACCTTCTTGACCCGCCACTTGGAGTTCTTCTCGTCCGTATAGATGGCATAATCCTTGTAATAGATGGGGGGCTGCTTCTTGAGCGCGGGTAGCGGGGGCGCCTTGGTCGACGTCGATGTTGGGCAGGCCTTGGCCTTGGCCTTGGCCTTGGCCTTGCCTTTGGCCTTGGCCTTAGCTTTGGCCTTGCCCTTGCCTCTCGTCGTCTCGGTCTCCTCCAACATCTTCTTGATGTACTCGTCGATCTCCTCCTGCCGTGCCGCGGGCCCCCCGCTGGCAGCGGCGGGCTTCTTCATAGATGGATGCTGCTCCTCATCGTCTTCGTCGTCATCGACTTCGGCGAGCGCGCGCTTCCTCGAAGCTTGGGGCGGCGGCGTCCCCGAGCCAGGATCGGGCGCGGCGCCCTTTGGAGCGGGCGTCGTCGGCGGCCCGAGGGACCCTGCTGATGAGGTCCTCCGCAAGCCCGATGGGGGCTCATTCAAGAAGGTCAGCGGGATGTCGCCCTGCCGCGGACCCCCTCCTGCCGATGCGGTGCCCATGAGCTGGCCGAACATGTTAACCATCGTGCTCATCTGCTGCATGAATGCGTCCTGGTGCCTGCTGTTCGGGTTCGGGCGCTCGAACGGGACCATGCTGCTGCTGCCCCCCGAGGGGTGCTCATATATTCCGTTCGTTTTGCGGGCTTCCGTGATCTGCCCTGCTTGCAGGCGCAAGGCCTCGCTAAACTGAGGCTTGGGGAGCACGGGAGCCCCGAACACCTGCGG